TAGCAGAAGTGGTGTGCAACCTTTGCCTTTGAATGTCCTTCAAAACATCATTTCTTGGTGACTCATCCATCCTTGGTAGCTTCAGTGTAAAGAGCCAACAATGTATCAACTGTTTTGTAGTGTTGGTGACTTGAAATCCTACGCCAACAATAGCTGAAGATGAATACTCGAGAGCAATGCAAGGTAAGCAATCAAGCAAAGGTTCCAGCTAATCAATTTCAGACCGGAAGTTTGATTTCAAGTTTTGACTAATTGCTTTCTTTCTCCTTGTTTGTAGACAAAAGCAAGGGCAAAGGAAAAGACAGGAAAAAAGCATGATATGAGATACTTTTGTTCTTGAAGAAAAAAGTAGAACGATTTGATGCTATTGTAAAACTTCTTGGCTAAAATATTTTCTTGCTGAGAAAGTGAGTTTGGCATTTTGAGGGACTTGGTTGAAGAAGTATTCTCAGAGATGAGGGAAGCTGAGTATTTTGAGAGACTTGGTTAAAGATGTATTCTAGGCGAGGAAGAAGAGTTAGACACTTTTGGAGCTCTACCTTGCCATGGAGGGCGGAGGTCGACATATAGAGGGATTGCCTAATAGCAGGTAGTGGTGTTGTTGGGACTATCCCATTCACACTTGTCAGCAACATCTGCGTAGTTGGAATAGTAAAATTCACGTGCTTCAACTTTCTCAAAGATATTTTGGCAAAGTTGTCCTTGATAACTAAAAAGCTGAGGTTGCGTCTAAGAAATGCCAATGAATTTTATTCAGGAAAATCTGACTTTTGAAATTCGAAAAGTAGTCTCTTCAATTACAAGTGGCCATGTTCCCTATTCTTTTATTGAGACATCAATTGTATCCAAAATGCACACTCAAAAAGTTGCCCGCCTGTGAAAATTGCTTCTGTTGTATTTCTGAGATTTCACTTTATCTGGTTTCCTTTTCTTTCATCTTTTCTGGAAATGGCTTGCCCATCTGACCATTGTTTTGATTTGAATGTTGTGGAAGATGCAGACGTGCCTCTTTAGGACAATATTTGGTGCCCATCCTTCTTATCCTCTAATGGTCCTCTTACGGTTAGGGACTTTGCGATGAAGAATGATATAACTGCTGCTGTAGTAGCTAAGAACCTTCTTACTTCCAAAAGACAAAAGAATACTTTCAAAATGGTTTGATGAATTTGCTTTTCAAGACTTTTTGGCTTTCAATATTCAGTGTGCGAGTTTTGTATCCAACATGGGCCAATGTCGACTTGCTTGAACTCGCCAAGTTGAATCATTAGCGATTGAGGTGGCAAGTCTTAGACAAGAGATTAGAGGACTCAAGCATAAGAATAGAGAGTTGCACATACTTGCAAATAATTACTCAACCAACATGAAAGAAAGCTTGACTAGCTGCAGGAATTCGAAAGTCGGATTCAAAGTGACCATCAGAGGTTCGTGGCTTTATTCCGAAGGTATCCATTGCCTCCACTATCTAGAGTTCTACCAAGTACTGAGGCTTCAAATGATCAACCTTAGGTGCTTATTCCTTCTAAAGTTTTGTCAAGTACTAAGGTTTCACATGATCAACTTTTGTGAAAGCTTCCCTTTTTCCTTTTGTTGTTGTTGTAATTCATGTGTATGTATAGAAAAGTTCCCTCTTTTTGGGTTTTATACATGTCTGAAACTTCTGGTTCAGTTTGTTAGATATAGGAAACTATGAAAACTTCTAGTTTCATTACTATGAATCAATGAATAAATGATGAAAACTTATGGTTCCATGAATATGATTCAATGAGTTGTTTAGCAAAGATGTTTTCTAATATCACATAATTCTTGGGCATTATGAATTCATGAAAGTATCTCTTGTATAAGATGTCGATAGTAACAAAATCAAGTTTTGCTAACTTCACAATTTTCTTATTCCCAAAAAGGAAGAAATTCAGGATGACGAAACTTACGATACTTAATTCATACTATATATAACACATGTCTACAGAAAATGTTAGAACTTTAAGTTCTTAACGTTATTCATATGTACTCGAAATTCATTCTTGATGTCGACATCATTAAAACTTTTAGGTTCATATTTTTGGAATTCATACTCATACTTAATCTGTACATGGATTAAGAAATCAGTAATGCTATTCTTACCATGTTTTTATATCATATTTATATATCACCTTATGTGGCATTTGATGTGGACAACCACATCATTTAAATTAATCAGAATTTAATTTAAATTAAAAACCATTTAATAAACCAATAATTAAAAAAAAACTGAAATTAAATGGTGATTGTAGCATACAATGAGTCTTCTCCTTCCTTCCCCGCTCCATCTTGCCTTCTCCCGTTTATTCTTCCACTTTTAAGCCTTTTTTTTTTTTTTTCAGTCACCTCAAGCAGATGAAGTAATGGAGCTATACTATTCTTTCTGGTTCAAGGTCTGGATCTTTAAGAAACAACCAGATCATGAAATCGAAGAAAACCTAGTAAACCCATCAAAGCCAGAGTTTTTACTGATTTCCGACAAGACTCCATCATACACAAAGCTTAAAGCATCAAATGAACTTGTGGGTTTAACTCATTTTCCACAATAAACCCATTAAACGCAACAAAATTCATTCTTCAACCACCATTCAATTCCCTAAGTCTCAGATAAAGACTACTTAGATACTTGAGTGAAGCTTGGTGGATGGGGATAGAAGTCGAGGAAGAGGAAAAAGGATACATGGGAGACATCTCGAGCACCGCCCGATCGTCGTCGACGACGGAGCGGTACTTGCGACCCTTCTGGCCATCGAACTCGTCTTCCGCACCAGCTTCAACATCGACATTGTCCATTTCTGCGCCTTGTTTGGATCGATCCGATACAAAACTATTCCTACAGAAACTGGATTTAAATCTATGCGAGAAAGGGATAGAAACAACATTTAATTTCACAGTCATCATTTAATTCCAGCTTTTTTTTTATTTTTAATTATTGGTTTATTAAATAGTTTTGTAATTTAAATTAAATTCTGATTAATTTAAATGATGTTGTTGTCCATATCAGATGTTACATAAGGTGATATATAAATGTGGTATAAAAATATGGTAAGAATAGCATTACTGTTAAGAAATTTATAGTCATCATTTGCATCAATCAAGGAACTTCTGGCCCAATCTTTTTATATGATGGAACTTCAGGTCCAATCTTTATATATGCTAATGATTAAGGAACTTCAGGTTCGATCTTTTTATACAATGAGGATCAAGAAACTTCAAGTTCTAATTTGATCAAGGAACTTCTGATCCTGTATATACTCATCATAACAAAATGTAGCACAATAAGTAAATTAGAGCATAGGGTGATAATTCTAACCGCTATAAACAAATTGCTTTAAATAACTAATGATTGTGACAAGGACTTTAATTCAGCACTATTCACATAAATATCAAAACTTAAAGATAATAATTATTATTATCAGAAAGGCAACGGTGCCACGCCATTCACATATATATTAATGTATGATTGGTGATTATACAACACCAAACACATCAATAACAAGATTAATAATGATAAGGAAAAAGTAAATATTAACTCACTATACTTCCCTTTTTCTTTCTAATCAGGGTCGTGTATCAACAGTAGTGTTTGAGAAGTATAGGAAGAGCAAACTGTTGGATCTGACCCAAATTTTAATATGATATGAATAAGAGGATAATGAACAACTTTCGTTAAGAAACTGTTTCGATCTAAACTACAAATGAGGGCACTTATAAGATGGATGTCTAGTTTTCTACGAAATTGGAAACTGGGTTGGTGTTTAACATCTGCAACAATCGCATCGCTAGATTTCCTGAAATTTGAATATGTTATAGGTAATGGGCAGACAAACAACTTTCAAGAAGGAAGTATTTCAATCTGAGGTCAGGAAGTTGGAGTTCATAGGCTGTTTACATGGTTGTAAGATTTTCTGTCAATAATAATAATAGTTATATAGTCAAATGTACATCTGCTTAAAGAAAATTAGTTGTACAGGAGTATGAAGATAAAGTAAAAGGATTTTCTTATCTGTGAGATTCTAGTCGACAGAGGTAAAAGGTAGGTATTGCTTCACTAGATTTACGGTGTTGTGATTTTCACTAATACAAGAGCTTCTCGTGCTGATAACATATTGTGAAACTGAGGATATGTGTGCAGTGGAATATAAAGTAAATAAGACACAATATTTATAACGTTTGACAAGTGTGCTTATGTCCTCGGAGCAGCAGTAGTACTTTCTTTTATTATTTGAAATAATAGGAGTACAAAATAACTCTCAGTATTCTTTCTTCTCTCTCGCTTGACTCACTAGTATTTTCTCGTGCATATATCTCTTCTTTCTTTTTCTTTCTTTCTTTCTTTTCTTTTGTATGCTTTTCTCTCTTTTTGTGTCTTTTTTATTCAATGGTGCAAATACCTCTTTATATAAAAGTTTTCATTCTTCCCTGATCTTATTTGGTCAACCATGTTTTTCAACATACCAATCTTACGAAGATTTTTTCTTTGACAACATTGTAAAGCTACCATCATATCTGGTTGCCTATACTCTAGGCATTCACACCTCCATTCATAACATAAAAAATATTTTAATGAAATAAAATAATTTGTCGAAAATACTTGGTTCAAATCCATTTTGTATTTTCAACAAATTACCGAAATAAAAAAAATAAAAGAAAGTTGTTGTCGTGTCTGGTAACAAATGTCTGAAGAATCTAAGCTGTGTGACATAGATTCGCACCGAAGCCATGTCGCCTAAAGCGAACCGAACTACCTCGACAGCGGTCAACGTTATACTTTCACCTTTGACTGCAAGTTAAACATCAATTTCGAGTTAATTTTTGACCCTGAGTTACCGCTTGCCTTTGTTGTTTCGGTTATCTCGGTGTCGTGTGTCCGCTGGTAAATCCCGTGGATCATGAACCATGGGCAGGCGGTTGTCCATTGACCAAAATACCCTTCTGAACTCTGCATTATCCCCTTTGGGCCCCTTTCTGCTTCAAACTTCAAGTGCCACTTTATCAGCTCTCAGAGCCGCAGAAGCAAGTGGCCAATTTGTAATGAATGCATCTTCGGAGCCTGAGAAGAAGTCTCTGACATTTCTCTCCTCTCTTGCTTCTTATTTTCTGCAAGTTCAGAAAGATTAGATTTTGATAAAAGTTCAAGTAGTGAGAGGAATTTAGATTTTGGTACCAAAAAAAAGAGGGGGGATTTAGAAAGAAAAAAAAGGAAGAAATGGGAATGGGAACAAGCACATTTATCATCAGATGGGTCAACTTTCTCACCATGGTAATCTTTCAAAGTTTTCATCTTTCTGTAAAAATCTGTCTGAAAAAAAAAAAAACTGAAAAGATTGCTTCTATTTTGTCCTTTTTTGTTTGCTCCGTTTCTGGGTATTTGTTTGTTTTAAGGATGGGTTTGGTTCTGTTTATGGGTTTTAGTTTGAAACTGTGATTTGGTTTTTGTCTTTGTCATCCTAAATTTGCTTGTTTCTTACCAGATTGATGTTTTTTTTTGCAAAATTTTCAGTCTTTGCTCTTACATTGTCATTCAAATTGTTGGAGAGAATCTGTTGAAATTTGTGTAGCTGGTTAGCTAACCAATGAGCAGCTCTAGTTTATATGTTCTGTACATAAATTTGATGATGTCTTACTATGTGTGATATGCAGCTCTTAGCAATTGTTGTCGTAGTTTTCGGGGTGTGGATGAGTACTCATCACGATGGCTGTCGGAGATCCCTCACGCTCCCCGTTATAGGCATTGGTGCAGTCATCTTTTTAATGTACGCTTTGCTTTCTTTAACACCCGAGTTTTTATGCATTCTTCGATTCCACTCTCTAACTTTGTATTGATCTCGAGAAATCTACTTATACTTGTGTGCCTTGGCTGTTAGATCAATAATCGGCTTCTTGGGTGCAATGAAAAATAGCTCCATACTCTTGTGGATTGTATCCTTAGTAAATGAATTTTGGTTGATTTTTGATCGAGGTTGTTTTGCGGTCGTTCGTTCTTGTTTGTTCCTTGACTTTTCATGTGCAGTATCTGATTCTGTTGTGCTTCATACTGGTGGGAATCCTGGTGTTCACGGTATTAGCGTAAGTAAACATCATCTGGAGCTCAACACTCTTCGTAATTCAGTTTGTACTTCATATCCCATCCATCTATTGTCTGAATTTTTTTTTCCTACGCCAGTTGACAGGATATGTATTTGAAAATATAAGAGAAGTCGGTACTTTTATGCAGTTTGACATTTTGATCGGGAGTTTAAGAAAATTGTAGACTTGTGGTAGTCACAATGAAGTGGGCATGCTTTTGCATATATTTTTTGTTCTGGAAAGTACTTCATCATTCTCAAATGCAAGCTGATACAGGGGCTCAATTGCATTTTTGTCTGTATGCTTCTGTTCTCGATTCTGTCTGTGAAGATAATGTTGATTGTGATCTTCCATAAGTATTTAAATGTTTTCTCGATAGTTGATAACCTTACATGTGATTTTTTTGAATGACTGCAGTTCAACCCAATTCAATATTTGCTCCTTAACGGTTTAGTTTTCATTGTACCAGTTTCATAATATTTGTACGAGGGCCCAGTTTTATTTGTGTGTATGAGTTAGACGTCGCATAATTTTCTGCCTTTACTTGCAGGTTCATTGTCACAAATAATGGCTCTGGTCATAGCGTGGTTGGCTTGAGGTATGCAAATTATTTTCTGGTCACTCGACTTGCTTTATGGGAGGGCATGATCTTGATTTGTGGTATCTACTCCTGAAATATTGTCTGACCAGAACTTTGAAATGATTAGGTTACAGAAAATTGCAGCTGTAAAAGTTTAGTAGCTTCAAATCATCTAGAGAAGCACAAGTTTCAATTTTTATTTCGTCAAAAGAATGCACTTCTAACCACTGTAGGAATAAAATACAAAACATTTTTTCATCCTCTTTTTTCTCATATGGACAGGTACAAGGAGTATCAACTCCATGATTACAGTCCGTGGTTTCTAAAACAAGTGAGTTCCTTTTTTCTTTTGCAGTTTAATGATGATATGTAGTGTCCGCTTTGTTATGCGTTTTTTTTATATCAGTTGCTCTCTTTCGTGTTTTAGTTGAACAATACGCAAAACTGGAAGCACTTAAAGAGTTGTCTTGTGAAATCTAATGACTGCAACGACCTACCAAAAAAGTATAAGGTGCACTTCTCAAGCTTGTTTAAATTGCTTATTTGTCTGCATAATATTGTTGTGATTTCCTTTACCTTCTCTTTTTTTCCGATTGACTTAATTTCTTTCACTTCACTTGTTGGATTCAGACTCTGAAGCAATACAAATTGGCAAAGCTAACCCCTGTGGAGGCTGGTTGTTGTCGACCACCATCTGAGTAGGTGCCATACTTCTTGTTTTCATTTCTGTGTCTTTTGTTGTTTGGTAAGTTTCCGTCGCCTCATCCTCCTGACTGTCTTTCTGCTTTAAGATGGAGTTTCACTAGTCTGAAATATGCATATAAACTATTAAACTTCCATGAACCACACAAAACGGTCGACAAGAAATAAAGTGCCCCCCCGCCCGCGCCACCCCCCCCCCCGCAAACACAACAACTGAGATGATAAGCATTCACTAACACAAATATGTAAAAGTATGAGACGATAATATAAAATAATTAAGTATATGAAATAGACAATTGAAGTGCATGGTACATACTAGATAACATGTTACTGATTTACCAATTGCTGGGATTCAACTTTATTCCTAGATGCGGTTATCCTGCTGTTAATGCGTCATACTATGACATGAGCTTCCATCCAGTTAGTTCAAACAAGGACTGCAAACTTTACAAAAATGCCCGGGACACCAAGTGTTACAATTGTGATTCCTGCAAGTAATCATCACACCTTTATCTCAATTTTTTTGTCTCTTCTCGTTTTTCCTGTATTCTTGTGTATAAATTTAATCAATTCTGAGCACTATTCGTCAATCATTTTCAAGGGCTGGAGTTGCACAATACATGAAAACTGAGTGGAGACTGGTTGCGATCTTTAATGTTGCTCTGTTTGTTGTTTTGGTGAGGCATTCTCTCTATTTATTCAATCACAACCATTGAAATTTCTTTACTTAATAACAAAAGCTGAACTATGTAAATTATAACATTATCAAACATTTCCAAAATTTAACGAACAAGAGTAGACATTTTGTATGTGATGCATGGCTAAAGATTAGAGAATAAACATCTACTATATTCATATAGTTAGTCTCTGTTGAGAAGACTGCAATAACTTGCGTTCTACGGTTGTACCATCATTTAAGATCAATTTTCTCCTGTAAGTGCTTGATGCCATGACATTCCTTTTTTTTGTGAAATGCCAGTCTATGATATATTTCGTGGGATGCTGTGCAAGAAGAAATGCTGCAAGAGTCCGTTCCAAAAATTAACAAGAGGACCTCTGCTATGAGAAACGCTCTTAGGGACGAAGAAACTATGTAGTCCTGAAAATGCATTCAAGCAACCTGTGAGTGATTTCTTTTATAGAATTTAAACAAAGAAAGTGCTCCATCATACAATGGGGAAGTACTTGCTACCTAGAGGCTATCTGCCTTAAGATTGTATAAAAATGCTTTGTGATGCTACGGAAACAAATTATATCATTTCTTTACTTATCTGAGACTAAAGTCTGAAGCATTATTTTCTATCATGTTCTTGCCACACACACACACACATATCTACCTACGTATACTACAGTTACTGTATCATGATCGCAAATTTCAATCAAAGGTTGACAATTCAGTCTGTTCGAAGTAGAGGCCAGAAACTCGACTGTCAGGCAACCAAGCTAGCTCTACAGGACCTTTTGCGCCTTCTTCAACTGTAAGCATCCCAGTATTCTCGTTTATGTCAGTTCTGGTGAAACTAGGACTGACTGCGTTAATAGCAATGTCGGGATACGTCTTTGCCAAGGCTCTTGTATAAGCATTCAGTGCTGCTTTGGATACGATGTAGGCAGATAACTTGGCAGGCCAGACTTTGGCTTCAACCAAACTCTGCTTCACATCCTCCATAAATTCCTCAACTAGGTTGTCCACTTCCTCTTCTCTGAGGCTATCAGTATCTCCTAGAACCCTCTTTGCTTTCTCATTTGGTATTCCAAACTTAGACATGCAGTTGAAACACTAGAAATGAACAAAAATTCGTATACAATAGTTTTATATCAACAGAATGCGTCGTTATATAGGTAATGTTATCTTGCCACATTTCCATATGTCATGTTATGTTGTCAGTTTGATGACATAAGATAACATTTTGTTTGTATAAATTGGGAATGCATAGCATTGATGGATTTCAGATTCGGGTTTCGGTACTGTACTCTTAGCTTTCCCACCGAGGAGGAGACATTGACTATCGTTGCCGAGTTGGATTTTTGAAGCAGTGGAATAAGTGCTTCGGTAAGTTGCTTAACTCCATAATAGTTTGTTTTCAGGCAATCCCTTGCTGTCTCATAGGTTTGCTTCACAACTTCATTGTCGGATCCGGCATTGGAACGTTGAAGCTGCATCATTATTCTCTCTTGTCAATGAAATAAAAAGTTAATTATACTCTCTATGTACTATGTGAACAAAATAAAGAATCAGTGAAGCGAAACTTCTGAGTGACGAAGTAGCTCGACCGTGAGTGAGAGGCGAACCGTGTAAAAGTAGGGTTCCTAAGCAAACGAAGGTGGACAACGGAAGGGTTGGGGCTTATACTCCAACAGGTATTTCCATGGCTAGAAAGTCTTCTTCAATCCAGCCGTACCTTACCCATGATCGACCCGGGGCTTTTGAGCGAGCAAGCCACTTCTCGGCAAGCTACAACCAATGTCATGTATATATGTCTGCCCCTTCGCGTGCATGATGGGGTTGCACACGAGAAACGGTGTTATTAGTAGCGAGAAACGCTGTTAGTAGTTAACTTCGTAGACATGATTAACCCATTTTATAGCTGAAGCTTTAGAGTAATGATTATCCAACGCAGCCGATAGAAGAATACAAACTTCCAAAATGATGTACAAAAAACAACCGAGTTCTATTGACTTACATCATCAGGTGCTATGGATCCAAGAGTTCCTGCATTATTTACCTGCAATATTGTAAAAGTATTTACTTCTTTTAGTGCTTAACCAAGTGATAAGGAGACCTTGGAAGTTCTCGTGCTGCATCCCTTTCTTTCGTCGGCAGACTCAAACATAGGAAAAACATCGTAACAAGATTCGTAGTTAGAGACGGGAATTACCAATATGTCAAGCTTTCCGACTTGAGTTTTGAGAAATTCGGCCTGAGAAGCAATGCTTGTTGAGGAAGTTACATCAAGCTGATGAAATACTACCCCATAGAGGCCATAAGAAGCCTTCAATTTCTCAACAGCTTCTGTTCTCCTCACATCTCTTGCAGTTAAACACCACCCCAACTCCATGAGCAGCTAATTGCCTGCTTATCTCATATTCAATCCCTTTGTTGCCTCCAGTAACAACTGCAATTCTGTTAAGAAAGAATATTAATAAAACCGTGATCACTAATTAAGCATCGTTACTGATCCTTCGTTGTCACGTAGCACTTCAGGAGAGGATGCGGATCGATTAAACGAAAGATTGATGTACCCCTTGGACTCAAAAACTGGTGGTTGTTTCTGCCATTTGTTGGAGATTTGGAGGAGGAAAAAAATGTTAGCTATGTGGATGGTGGTGATGATTTAGAGGGACTACTCCAAGTGCTTCTTCATCTCTTGTTCTTAGGCTATTTATAGTTTAATTACTAAGCTACTGATTTATCATTTGTCAGAGATGGTCACGTATGCCGTGACATTATCAAATGTTTGAGAATTCTATTTTCAATTTTCTTCGGTTAGGGAGCAACTTATATGATATGAGTTCATTGTCATTGTGACATTTGTATTATTAATACAATACCAAATAAAAAGAAACTTACATGTAGTATGGTCAGTGGCACAAAACGTCACAATTGCGATGTACCATTTTCATGTAAAAGTTTTTCTCCTTCAATCATATTTATTGTTCAACGATGTTTCATATCCAGTTCAGTCATATGGATTCATTTGGATTTCAAGAAATTGGTGGTTTTCATTTTTCTGTTTATTCTTTGTTGTGTTCTTTGTCAAATTTTACACGTGGCACGAGCTTAGAATCTAAGTAAGAAGAGACACTCTCATATTATTGGGGTAATGTTTGAGCATGTGACTAGTATCCAATGGATGAATTGGTGATACCACTAAGACTGTATATTGGTTGCAAGAGAGAGTCTTTCCCAATTAAGCCGGAAAGTGAGTCCATTGTTGCCGCATAAACATCTTACGAAATTATTAACCATGGTTTAACAAATATGAAATTTGTTTTAAAACATTAGATAATTTGTTTATAATGTTTGAAAAGGTACTTAATCCTTGTGTTTTTCACAAGTGATATTAGGGAAGATGAGTATGAATACAAGTTGTATGAACGAATATGCGCTCTTTTTCTTTGAAAAACATGAAACTAATCACGAATAAGATCATCGTTAGATCTTTAAACCACACATGTCAAATTGTTGCTAAGAAATTATATCAACAGAAAATAAGCAAACAACACACAAAAATGACTCTAAATATGCCTCAACATAGAAAATTCATCCGCTGTCATATTGGCATGAATATGCATTCCTAATCACTTAAGTTGAATTTTATTTCTTTTGGTCTAAAAATATTATCAATTTAAAGAATTGTCCGTAAGAAAATGTCTCTTATTTAAATTTTGGATTTGATTACAATACTTACATGTACATTTACCATCACGATATTCAAATAGTAGTTGTATTAAATATAGGTAAATATTGTAGCCAAATCCAAAAAAGGGACTTGAAGACGCAGCAAACAAGAAATTCAACTAAAACACTCAAATGACTGGAGACGTAGCAAAAGTTAAAGACAATATTAGTATTGTTTGAAGTGACCTCTGTCTCTTTGATAATTCTACAGTCAATTTCTTAACACGTTAAATGTTTTAGTCCAACGATTGTTTTTCATAAGCATGACAACAGTATTTTATTAGAAAAACTAATGAAAAGGGTTTGAAAATTTTAAGTTTAAACAATAAGTGCAAAATAAAGGGTAAAGTGAATAGTATTAGAATTGACTTTTTAGCGTAAAAATGTGATTTTTCGTAAAAATGAACAGTATCAAAATCCTCAAAAGTGGGCCAGATTCATTTGGAATTCAAGAAATTAATTAAGACCCAAGCATATATGTTCTTTTATGGATTTGACAAATTGAAGGCGGCATTGTTTTTGGGGTGCATTTTTGCTCACCCTGTAAACTTTGATGCATGCTTTCCACACACATCTAAGCCTGCCAAATTATGGGATTGAGATTGGGTCTTTCAAACCAAGCTCAATTCGTTGGCTATAAATACTAGGCACTCATTCATAAAGTCAATAAAGCAGAACGCATCATCCGAATCGAGGCAGAAGACATGGAGAAAGAAAGAGATAATTGCTTGTCGTTTTCAACTCCCTCCTATAAGCCTTGGATTGGCTTTCTCAGGATAAGGTTTGAAGTCGATTAATCTAGTTAAGCTAATCTTAAGTGTGGGCAAAAAGAAGGAAGCAAGTCCACACGCGCATCCTCACACTCAAATGCTCAAACTCCCAAAAACTCTACACACTCAAAAGATTTAAAAAGCTCTTTGCATTCTTCGCCACACTTGTGAAGAACCATCAAGCACCACTACACATGCAGGTTCTTCCACCGGCTCAAGCCAAACTCTTGCAACGTTCATTGGTTCGAGAACAAGTCACTACGACCCCCAGATCAACAACCCTACACGTACATTTCGCAACCCAGGAGATCGAATCGGATGATCACATTTTGGAATAAGAGATTGTAACCCTAAACATTCATTTAAAACAAATATTATTCTGTACATGTGTTCTTGTTTCGTTTGTCATAGGAATTTTCATGTTTACAAGGAAATCCCCTGGGTCTGAGGATTTTGATAGTCGTAACGTGTCACCATGACACGCTTGACCCTGATATTCCTTGAACACCAGGGTAGACACGTGTTGGCCGACACCCGAAGGTGACGAAGCCATATTAGGATGCAAGAGAACTATGAATATGAATAAAATAATAGAAATTTAAATATAATGAATGTGCATTTAAGGAAAGTATTCAGGGCATACAACTAAACTAGAACACTAAAAGAGGAATAATATAAAATTGAATGAATAAGTGAATGTGTAACATCCCACATCACCCAGGGGAGTGATCCTTATATGTATATTCCCATCTCTACCTAGCACGAGGCCTTTTGGGAGCTCACTGGCTTCGAGTTCCATGGGAACTTCGAAGTTAAGCGAGTAGCGCGCGAGAGCACTCCCATGATGGGTGACCCATTGGGAAGTTCTCGTGTGAGTTCCCAGAAACAAAACAGTGAAGGCGTGGTCGGGACCCAAAGCAGACAATATCGTGCTATGGTGGTGGAGCGAGCCCGGGATGTGGTGGACCTCAGGCCGGGATGTGACAATTTGGTATCAGAGCCTAACCCTGGCCGTTGTGTGCCGACGAGGACGTCGGGCCCCTAAGGGGGTGGATTGTAACATCCCATATCACTCAGGGGAGTGATCCTTATATGTATATTCCCATCTCTACCTAGCACGAGGCCTTTTAAGAGCTCACTGGCTTCGGGTTTCATGGGAACTCCGAAGTTAAGTGAGTAGCGCGCGAGAGCACTCCCATGATGGGTGACCTATTGGGAAGTTCTCGTATGAGTTCCCAAAAACAAAACCGTGAGGGCGTGGTCGGTGCCCAAAGCGGACAATATCGTGCTACAGTGGTGAAGCGGGCCCGGGATGTGGTGAACCCCGGGCTGGGATGTGACATAATGGGTCCTACACCGAAAGGACTCGAAGATACCGATGCGGAAGAGCCTTTATGCCATGATCGTATGCCTCGAATCTAAATCCTGAGGGGGCACAAAACAAACATGAGTAGACCAAGTTGATATTTATATATATGTATATATATATATATATATATATTACTGATACAGTTATCAACATACTAACCCCCAAAGTTTTATGAAAACATCAATAGCATAATATATAATAGGTTTTCGAAACCTTAGCATGCCATAAAATTCTTTCATAAAACATATCTCGTATATAATGGGCTAAATAGTGGTATCCAGTAACGATATCTCCCGGCCCAATATCAGCTCCATGTCTCTGCGCCCGTAGCCAGAGATTATTTCTCTCGGCCCAATGCTAGTTCCATGTGTCTCAGCCCTAAGCTAGAGATTATTTCTCTCGACCCGCAACCAACAACCATAATCATCGCCCGTGGCAGTATAGTGACCACTAGATAAGCACAAAACCATTGAACATAGACTTTCAAAACATAGGTATATATATATATATCTCAAAAACATCTTCATAGTATAAAGTCATCCATCATCTATACTGTAAAAAACATGTGTTCGATAAAATATGGTAATTCAAAATATTCTCAGTAAGCATAATATCTCATAAAACG